AAAATGTTGTACATCCCTCTTTTTGAGTTCCGATGTCAATTGAAATGGATTCAGAATCACTATAGTCTTATCCAGACAAACTTTAAGATTCAACTTGTGATCGTTGTAAGCCTCCAAATGATCACTTCCCACTGATATCGCCTCTTCCACTCCCTCTTTATCCTTATCAGTTGGTTCCATGTAGACAGCCCAATAGGGACAATCCTGATCATTTACATAGACATTATCTTCAGGCATTTTTAGAACGTCCGCTAGTTTTGGGTACCCATCATAGTTGTCTTCTTCTGACCCTTTTTTATTGTTCGTGGTAATTGTAGGTGATGGAATTGAAACTTTGAAAAACGAACTCTTCTCATCCATCAACAATTCCTGATTACTCTTTGACATATACTTCAATGGATACGGTTTCTTGACAACTCGATCCATCAAAAGCTTTGATTTCTCATCTAACGGCTTCTGGGGCATTCTAGGCTTATCTCTCTTCACCTTCTTCAACATCCGTTTTACTTGCTCCGCATCTGGCTCAATATTCTTAACCTCGATCTTCTTCGTCTGCTCAATTTGACTAGATTGAACCACTGATTTCCTTTACTCTTCGATATACTCTCGGTTCCTCCTCGTTCCTCAGTTTTTCTTCCCTCTGAATCTGGCTCCTTCTCCTTGAATTCATTGGCTCTCCCCTTCTCTTTTCTCTTCCTCTCATCCGATTTCTCCGGGGTTACTGTATGGCTTTTTGATGTAGTCTGGGTTTTCGTCCGATTTCGAGTCCTGGATTTTGTTCCCGATCGTTTCACACTTCGTCGCTTGTTTTTGGAGCTACGAGTCTAAAAGTAGGACTTTTGGACACACAGACAGACACATTGTTAAGTTTGAGCTAGTTTATCTCCTTTCCCGAGAAAGATATCAAAAAGTAGTCAACTGATAAAATATTGATAACATTATGATAATAATTTTATTTACAAAATTTTGCCATCTTTTATAGGAAGCGAGGTAATTAAGCTCAAAGTGCGCGTACTCACATGTTTACTGTTCTTCTTTTTTGCTTTTGTTCTCGAGCTTTTTCTTGAATTTCCAGCCATATTCTGTGTTCTGCGGTGAGGAGAAGTGTCTAACTTTTTTCAAATCAAGATTCCACTTTGATTTTAAAATTTGGATGGGGGAATGATGGAAATGACTGGTTGCGAGGTTTGTCGATTTGGAGAAATGCTTAATTTCACGTCAACGAAGAATGAGGAAAGGTGGAAGTAGGACATCTGGAGTCACAGAAACGCATATAGACAGATAAATGCTAGGTTTTATAAGTCTGGGACTAAATTTCGTTTATTTTACTTCTTGGGGAAAGATTTGTTGTTTTCGAAACATTTGCCTTTTGTGTGGGACGGTACAGGGTGGCTTTTAATTAGCGGCACAAAATTTTGGTGCGATGGTTCTCGGTGGTGGTGTGCAATCTGCAAATCGAATTTTGTAGTTTGATTTATTGATTCATAATTAGTATTCCTGTCAAGTTTCAGATGTATTGGTTGAGTTTCAGGTAGACGGTGAGACCAAACGTCCACCATGCGACAGTCATCAGTCTTTATAGGGCGTTAGTCGAAACGAGATCATTAAACGCATTGGGATTGCAAACATGTGGTTTTTTGTAGTTATCAAAAGATTCATCGAGTCCGGATCTCTATTTGATGGAATTGTGAGAGCACAGGTGGATCGCGAGGAACGTTTTATGGGATCGCGCGGTGCTGTATGTTCTCGCGCACTAAAAATCCAAAAAAGGTTTTTTTCTTCATAAAAGAAATAATTCACAACTAGTTTTGTCTGAAAGAATATAAAACAGGATTCAAGTTAATAAATATTTATTAAAAAGAAAAAAGGTGCAGTTCTAAAATGAATGACTTGTTACAGAAAAATAGGTTTTCCCTAATATGTTTACCTCCTAGCGGTGGCGGCGTCTCTCGTTCCTCGCTTGCTCCAGCGTGGCGATGATTTCGCTGTAAATTATTAAGAATTATATTATAGTTTTAATCTGACTTACCGAGGTAGCTGGACGATCTTCAAAAACTGCACCGGTATGAGAACCCCACTGCTCAACTCCCGGACCATGAACTGGTCCGGGTTCACCACCACCGTTGGGTTGTTGGCTCTCCAGTGACTCAACACACTGGCTCCGTTTGACATTCGGGCATCCCTGAGCCTGTAAAATGTATAAAATTTATGGAAAATTATTCTTAATAGCTTACCGCATCTCCGGCACCTCGATGGCCCCCAACATCGGGGCGATCCCCACCGAGCTCATAAGCCCGGTGTTTCTGGGACGCACCCACACCTTTTTAAGAACCGTAGCGCGGTTGGCGAGCATCTCGTATTGGCTATCATTGAACATAGAGGTCATTTTTCTAAAACTTAATTGAATGTTTTATAGAAGTCCGAGATACAGCAAGAAGAAGGATTCAAGAGACGAGCATGGAACGAAGAATAAAAATAAGACAAATCAAATCTATTGGAGTTGTGGAAGATAGAAAATGTGGGTAAGGAAAAAAATGGCCCCACTTCAACAAAGCTAATAAAAACCCGCATTACTTTTCGAACAACCTAATAAATACTAGAAAGATGCAGACTGGATAAAGTAATTGTGACTACAAAACTAGAAAGATTCAATTAAGATGTAGACTAAGAAGTGAATAAAGAAATGGGGAGACAGAGAAAAACTTACTTGACACTGCATAGTTGTAGAATCCCATACTCCACTCGGCCATTGACCAGGGTGACCTACTACTAGGCAGTTCCCATTGAGCCACTGGGTGAGGGTTGTGGACATCTTGAGGAAATGAAGACTCTACAAGAAGAAAAGTAAGTAAAAATGAGAGAGTAGGAAAATATACAAAGGTATAGCATACTGATCCAGTTTTATTACTTTTGTTAGGAGCCACTGCTGTTTTTAGACTCACCTTCTCGAATTCACAATTTTGAGATCTTAAGAGTGAAATTGGCGTTTAAGGATAGTAGCATAGCAAAAAGGGAATAACATTCAGAAAAATCAATAGTGACATTTTTCCGACGTCCATGCAGAAGGTCGTCTGGAAAAATAGGGGCTTTAGCTTTGTAGTTGACAACTTTTTGGGAAAAATTCATCTAAACGAGTTATACCTCTTGGAAGATGGCTCCATCGCAAGGGCTTATTTGTTAAAGTGGCCAGCTTTATAGAAGTGGCATATCTCATCTCATTAAAATTTGACAAACAAGTTACAAAATTGAAGCTCTATTTTTGTTTAGTATACTTAGAAATTTTCAGACAAATTGAGAAAATCTGGACCACTTTTACAGTGCCTCAAAGTTGAATCTTCTGAAAGTGTCTCAAGAAGTTTCAGCACTAGGCTGGCTTTCAAGCGATTTATCTCATTTGAGTGAATCGCTACAAAAATGTTGACAACTACAAAATTAAAGCTCTGTTTTTGTTTGGTTTACTGTGAAATTTTCAGAACAATTTGCATAAATTGAGAATAATAATATTCATTTGAACTTAATAACACCGGAAGTACAATAATTTTTGGAAAGAGAATGTTTGAAACATGAAGCAGTATGACCGGTAAACAGAAAAAAATAAGTGAAAAAATAGAAAAAAAGGCGAAGAATACAAAAAAAACCCGATATTTTTCAGATCAAAATCGAATGTACAGAATAGCCAGATAACACGAAAAGAGCCCAAAAACTGAGAATTTAGAGAATGCGAAGCATGGTTCATCCAATTCTGGATCCCCAATATAATCTGGAATGACAATAGGCGGTCCACAGCTGCTACAGTAATCCGAGCACTTTGGGCAGATTAAAGATCCTTCTCTCAGCCAACCATCAACCACTTTTTTGATATGCACTTTTTGGTTTTCTGCGTAGCAGGGGTACATATCTGTAGCGTTGTAGGAGCCAACATAGAGGGTTCCATTTGTGCATTGGTACTGAAAAAAAAAAATCAAAATTCAAAAAAAATTAAGGTACCTCATAACACCCAGCCATATAATGCGACAGTACTCTTATCCTCCCACACTTTCTCTCTGTCCATGGTTTTGGAAATTCGAAACATTTGGAATTCTCTCCATAGACTTCTAGAATATCCTCGCCTTCTTTTCCATTTCCCTCCAGCTCACATCTCGAGTCTTTGTGCTCTTTTTCTGGCATTTTCCATTCGAATTCTTGTAAAAATGGACAATAATCGGCCATTTCAACGGATCCACCGTAATACTTTGCACCGTCTGGATTCACTCCAGGCAGACTCATAAAGTTACGGTATTGGGGTGGAAGCTCTTTTTGGAATGGGATTAGGTTGCATAGAGCCAAAGAGTCACGTTGGGAAGTGCATCTGGTGATGGCCATGGATTTGGTACCATCGTGTTTGATATCACTACAGTATGGATACGCATCTTCACCACTGAAAAAAATTGAGTTGAAAATGGTAATACAATTTTTTAGTCCTAAAAAGTAATCTAGAATTGTTGGATTTGTCTGAAAATTCCAGGGTGTACTAAACAAAAATAGAGCTTCATCTTTGTAGTTAACAACTTTTTTGTGCAAGCGCGCTCTAGTGAGATATGACGCTCGGAGACGCTAGTGGCGGCACCTCCCCCCACCCACCTTAGGCTCGCCCGCCGACTTCCACGTTGCATATCTCGCTAGAGCGCGTTTGCACAAAAAAGTTGTCAACTACAAAATTGAAGCTCTATTTTTGTTTGGTATATTCTAAAATTTTCAGGCGAATAGAAATACTCTGAACTACTCTTGTAGGCAATTAAAATTGACATATAACCTGTAATAGAAAAGTTGTTTAACTTACAAGGGAAGTGCTTTCAGACAGTGGTTGAGAATTTGTTCAAACTTTGGTCATTGGTACTTTTGGACACGCTGATCACAGCGCTGCTTTTATTTTTGCCCCTTGCCCCTCACAAAAAAGTTATGGGCTCTGAAAGTGATTTCAGTGCTAATTTCTCACTTTTGGAGTGAATTTTTGGAGGGGTTAATAACAGTTGTTCGGAGTTTCTTGAATGTAAATATTATTTTTGAAGGTTTCTCTACAATCTGAAAAAGTAGCCTCATTTAAAAAAAAAAAATTTTTTTGAAAAAAAGTCGCCATGGGGTACCCCCTTTGGAAATTTTTACAATTTTTTGAAAAATTTTCAAATGTGCTAAAATAATTTCTAAACGTAAAAATCCCGATAAAATGAGTCTTTTCATGAAATTTGGTATTCTAAATATTTTTGGAAATCACAAATATGTGCTTTCAATTTTAATGGATCGTAGGCCTTCGGTAATCACCCAGTAGCACTCAAATCTTGTAAAAACATAGGTTTACATAATTTCTGACTAATTTATTACTGTTCCGCATCCAAACGTTATTGACCATGTCCGAAAGTATATGCGTACCAATTTTGAAGAAATTCTCAAACACTGTCTGAAAACACTTCCCTTGTTAGAGCCAATTTATCTTATTTTCTGTGAAAGATATCAAAAAGTTGTAAACTGACAAAATATTTCTGATTTTATGATAAACATTTTATTAGTTGACAACTTTTTTATGTCTCCTACAGTAACCGAAATAAAAATCAGTATATAATTTTAAATTCAAAAAACCTACAGTATCCTCTTCTGATGAATCCACTCTCCACAACTTTTCATTGCGAAATCACATCCCAGCTGTTTGCCCCAATGGAGATCTTCGGCTACTCTGAAAAATTAAAGTATGTGTTTCGAACAGTTGGAATTTCAGATTTTTCAGATTTTAAGGACTTCATAGCGTCCACTGGAACGCCGTTAAACCTGTTGGGGGTCTTAAATTTGAACCGTTTTATCTTGCTTCCTGTAAAATATATCAAAAAGTGATCAACTGAAAAATATTTTTGATATTTGATTAGAGTGTTTAAGGTAAGAGGTCCTTCCTTTACACGGTTTTCAGTGGAAATCAAAATTTCTAGGATCAAATTTCACAATTTTTCATTTCAACTAATTAGAAAAAGCCTTCAAAAACTCACTCATAATTAGGTTGGTACCATCCAGTGTCTTCTAGAAACGCCAGGGTCAAGCGAGAATAAACTGGGTTTTGGGTATGAGTTCCGGTCATTGCTTCATTCTGTAAATTTGAAAATTTATATAAAAATTAACAAAAAAAGTTCCACAAACCTCATATGCCCTCTTCTCCCAATGCGTCAAAACCGTTCCTTCGCCTCCTTGATTCTCAAGCTCCGCCCCTTCCAACTTATCACATCCGAAATGCCTCCTAGCTTCTTCTCGAACCTTGGGTGTAACCATCATTTGAATCGGATGAATTACTTTGCCTTCTCCGGTCCACCACTCTTCTCTCAACACTGTCGTTATCGTGTTCTTGTCCCAGTCATAATACCCTCGCTGTTTGTTCAATGATGTCGGACGGCCGTAGCGATTCCTGCAAGAAACGTTTTATATACGCACTCCTCTCCTCCCTCCTTCGGTTGCTTCCGTGGCGCAATAGGCAGCGCGTTCGGCTGTTAACCGAAAGGTTGGTGGTTCGAGCCCACCCGGGAGCGAAACTTTTTTGAAACTTTTTTTTCCTTCATTTTGTGTTAAAAATAGGAACCACTACTTTTGACCACATATATCTCATTTCCTGTAAGAGATATCAAAAATTAATCAACTGATACAATGTTTATCATAATATGAAGAATATTTAGTTGACCACTTTTCCCTATCTCTTTTAGGAATTGAGATAATTGAGCTTAAAGTTGACGAATTGAGTGTCCTTCTATTAGAATGTGTACGATATTTAGATTTTTTTTCAACAAAAAAAAAACGAAAAAAAAAACAAAACAACTACACAGTTACCTTTTAGTCCTCGGTTTTCCATCTTTATCCCGGAAAAATGCGTATAACCCAACAGAAAATCCCAATGCATGGAGAATCTCATGTTTTACAGTACTCGTCAGAATCTCATAGTCATGGTTATGAACAGAAAGTGCGCTAGGACAAAGATTCACATTTCCAGCAATCGGACGATCGAAGTCTGCTTCTTGTTGACAGTGAGCAGCATAGGATAGCGTTTCTGGGCCCTCACAACGTTTAGAATTGTGCGCAGTGACGTATCTGAAAATTATGAATTTCAGAAAATCAGAAAAAGATAAAAAATCAGAAAAAATAGTCTTACAAAATAAAATCAGATTCCTTAACACCTTCTCCCATCTCTCCAGTTGTTTGACAGTCATCAGTGTTATTACATGCCAGGCAATCCTGAAAAAATACCAAAAAAATTCTTTAAAAAGAAATCAAAAAGAAATCCGTCGAGCCGGATTCGAACCAGCGACCTAAGGATACCCACTGACTCTACAGTCCTCCGCTCTACCAACTGAGCTATCGACGGCACGTCGGTCTTCTCTCTAACTTACCAATAAGTGGTCGTTGGGAATGTCTGCCTCTCCGCAAGTCGTTCTTTCCCTACAACCTTTGTCACATGCTACATTTCGCATTCCCTGTTTATAATAGTAGAATGAAGATATGCATTTTCTGGAAAAAATACGATAATTTCGGATACTGTAGTTTAAAAGCTCACCTTCTCAATCGAATTGGAGTTTTCATTGGTCTAACTCTCAACGCATTCTCCCAATATCCAACAGCTTCTGGTAACAATGTTGTATTCACAAAATGTTGAACTTCCGCTGTCAGATTTTGTATACTTTTATCATAATGTAACTGGATTCTCAATGGAGCGAACTTTTGAAGGTCTGGTGGGGTTTCAGTGGGATTTTCAGAGTCCCTTCGATGGCGATGCGGATGGTGGTGTTCTATGGGGACTTCTAAGAGGACATCTTCTATTCGGGGATTCTGAAATTTCATAGTTTATGACTACAGTATTAACCAAAGGCTGTGTTCATGAGCATTTTCCTTGGAAAAAACTTTTTAAAAAACGCCCCTTTTTCGCTCAAAAAAACCAATTTTAGTGGGTAACAACCAATTCTGGAGTCATACAAAAGCAGTTCAGAATTTTTCGAATCTGTCTGAAAATATCAGAACTTACTAATCAAAAATAGAGCTTCATTTTTATAATTAACAACTATTTCGTGCAAAAGCGCTCTAGCGAGATATGCCGCTTGGAAGATCCCTTTCTTTAGGGCGCCCTTCAACGTAGGCTCACTTCCACGTGGCATATCTCGCTAGAGCGCGTTTGTATCAAAAAGATGTCAACTACAAAGTCGAAGCTCTATTTTTGTTCAGGCTACTGTAACAATTTCAAAAAAATCGAAAAATTCTGAGATATTTTTTCAGGTCTCGAATGTTGGCCAATTTCAACAAAAAGTAGGGTAGCCTAAACCAAGGCGTCAACTTCAAGCCCATATATCTCATTTCTTGTAAAAGATATTGAAAAATAATTAACTAACGAAATGTTAAATATTAGCAACATTTTATCAGTTAATTACTTTTTCATATCTCTTACAGTAATCGAGATAGGGTTGAAAGTTAAAGGAGGACTCCGACCAAAAATTTTTATTGCATAGAAATGTTCAAAAAGTTGTCTATTTTCCCAATATTATAGCGAAAAAATTCGAAAAAAAATCCGAAATCCCCGAAAAATGCCGTTAAAAGCCAAAAAAAAAATCAAAAAAAAAAGTTGCTAGGAGGGACGAGGATTTGAATTCCCGCGCAGTGAGAAACCTAGGCCACGGAGCCTGATAGCCGTTTTTTCAAGTGGCCGACAGTGGTTTTTCAAGTTTTTTACCTGCCGGACATGAAAACCGAAAAAAATCCGGAAAATTTTCCATGTCAGAAAGGTGCTGTGATGCCGTGGCCTAGGTTTCTCACTGCGCGGGAATTCAAATCCTATTTTTTTTCAACGCCGTTTTTCGGGGATTTAGGATTCTCTTTGAATTTTTTCGCAATAATATTAGGAAAATACATATTTTTTTGAAACATTTTAAGGCAATAAAAATTTGGTCGGAGTCCCCCTTTAAGGGTAATTCTATAGGGTGATTACGGTGATGCCACTTTCAAGCGGTCTCTCTTATTTGGATGAATTTGTACCAAAAAGTTGTCAACTATAAAATTGAAGCTCTATTTTTGTTTAGTATGCTCTGGAATTTTCAGACAAATCGAAAAATTCTGGACTGCTTTTTCAGAGCTTCGAAATTGACAATTTTAAAAATCAAAGTTAAAGTTAATACTGCTAGGTGGTAATTCCATTACAGGTTACGGTAGCTAAATTTTTCAAATAGCATGCTGACTTACCTGATAAGAGCATGGTAATGTGTTAATAAAGGGCAAGAATACTAAAAACGAATAGGCAAAGTACTGGAATATTAACCGGGGTTTCATCAAACTGATTGTGGATTAACTAGTGATTCAATTGTCCTTTTTTTATCGATGATGAGGCATGAGATTTTTGTGTAGATTCTGAAAAAAAAATTTAGATGGAGATTGAATAAATTAACCCAAGTAAAAGTAAAATCCGAAACTTTAGGAAGAGCAACAAGTGGAATTGGAAAAACAAGATCCAATACTTTTAGAAGAATCCTTGACCAAACAAGGAATAATGATTTCCGAAAAAGTACATAACCAAAGTTCGTGTGGGTTTGTGACCCCAAAACAAGGTAATTAGCCATTCCCGTAAAGAAAAGAAACAATGTGAAAAGGAAGAGACCTACTTCACACCTATTATTAGGATTTCTAGAGATGAGAAAAGTATAGGGGGGATGAGAAGGAGGAAAAGAAACAAAAGGGTTCAAGGACAGGACAAGGAGAAGGTAAGGAAAAGAGATGGGACCTCGAAGATAGGGATAGGTAGCGGGAGGAGAATAGAAATATTTAACAAAGGTCTTGCAATAGCAAACTTTACTTTTAAAGCTTCAAAAGTAATTAATTTCCCACCAAAATTGAAACCCTCGGCTGCCATTTGAAAGAAGTTGTTGGACAGATCAGCCGTCAGACCCTAGCATTATGTATCGTCAACTTTGAGCTCAAATATCTCATTTTCTGTGAGGGATCTTGAAAAGTAATTAACAGGCAAAATGTTTATCAGAAAATGAATAAAATTTTGTTAGTTGAAAACTGTTTGATATTATTCACAGGAAAACTTTTAACTTTGAGCCCATATATCTCATTTCCGGTGAAAGATACCAAAAATGATAAACTAATAAAATGTTTATCACAATAAAAGTTATATTTTCTTAGTTGACTATTTTGAATACCTTTTACAGGAATTGAGATAAATTGGTTTAAAGTTAAAAGTGACTGCTATCAGAGTGTTGACGGTATTCTCAATGGAGCGAGCTTGTTACGCCCTGGTAAAGTTTTAGAGAGGTTTTTGGAATTTTTCTTAACTTTATAAATACTTTGGTAGATATGAGCTATCCATAGGTGTATTAGCTTGAGCTAAAACGACGATTTTTGAAAAAGGCGAGAACTTCAGATTTGGCGGGAACTCGGATACTTTTCAAATTTCAGTTAATTTTGAACACTTTTAGAGAATGATTCAGTTTTTCTAGCTCAATATCATTTTTGTTATTCATTTTCACAAATTTCAAGCAAAAATGTTGCCTAGAAAATGTGAATAACGCTTCTAATAGAGTGCCACCTCCATTGAGCTCAATTATCTCGGTTCCTATGAGAGATATCAAAAATATTTTAATTGGTAAATTATTTATCATAACATCACCAACATTTTATCAGTTGCCACCTTTTTGATATCTTTTACAGGAATCGAGATAATGTAGCTCGAATGCAATTAGGACGCTAACGGTATAAGGAAAACTAGGCTCAAACTTTGAGCCTCAAAGTCACAAATGTTCATGATCTTAGTTCTTTCTATTCAACAGACAAGGAAAAACAGGAAGAAAGTTTCCGAATGGCAACGATTATCTACGACAGAGGGGGTGCATGTTGCTCAGCTACTGCCTGCGCATCTCTCTCTCTCTCTCTCTCTCTCTCTCTCTCTCTCTTTCTCTTTTACCCCCGAATAACAAGAAATACAAAAATAAACAAAAAACGGAAGACCTTCTGCCTGCCAATGGCTGAGAAAAAGTTCGAGTGGTCATTTCTACCGGATTTTGGCTCCTTGTCTGTGTGTTTTTTATGAGATAGACACTTGTGTGTTCCTTCCAAAAAGAGAGTTTTGAGGAGTGAGAAAAAGATCTGTTGAAATTGGGTGTAATACGATATGTTCAGATTTTTTGGAAGAAAGAGAAACCTGCGAGGCTCAATGGAACACACTTATCGCACCTGGCGAACTCGGAAGATCAGCATCAATAACCAAAACTATGAGTTTCGGTTACTGTATCGTATTAAAGTTACTGTAATGTATTCAGATTACTGTGATGTGTTAAGGTTACTGTAATGTAGTGTTTTCAGAATTATCAGTTCAGGATTAAAGAGATTTTGGAGAAGTTTAATGATAAAGACTATTTATCATAAAGTTTGAGAAATGGCAGGGATAAGAGATTAGCCATATTAGATGACGATGATAGCAAGATTAAAAATTTGTTCGCATTAGTGAGGGGTTTATATCCATCTCTCTACACCGAAAATGAGCAGAAATTTCAGATTTTTCAGAGGAAATAATTTTGAAAGTCTCAATTATACAGAGCTGTCCACTTTAAGTCAATTTATCTCATTTTCTGTGATAGATATCAGAATGTTATCAACTAACGAAATTCCTATGATGATATCAGTAATATTTTGTTAGTTGACAATTTTTTGATACGTCTTACGGGTACCGAGATCAATTGGATCAAATTTAGGAGAACTTCTATTAGAGGTTTGAAGATCGAAATGGTGGTTTAAGGATGTTAGAGATGTTTTTGAAATTTCTAGAAAAAAATGTTTACTATAAATTTATTTTCATGAAACCACAAACATTTTATTAGTTGAGATTATTTTGCTATCTCTTACAGGAACCGAGAAAATTGGCGTGATTAGGAAACTTTCAAAAAATTTTCCCAACGAAAATAACAGAAAACAGGAGGACGCTGTATTAGGGGGTGGCATTCAATTAGAGACTGACACTTTATTGTTCGGAGCTAATTTCTATTGAAACTCATCACAAAAGTGTCCGATTTTCAACTCAAAATGACTTTCGAGGTTTTTGTGATTTTTCTACTTTTTTTAGAAACTTTCGGAATTCGATATTATCCTGACGCATTTTTTACAAATACAGTACCTCTTTTAAGCTTGAAAAAAGATAGAAAGACAGAAAATGATTATTTGTATTATTCATTAACTTTTACCACATTGACATCAAATCCGCAGTGGCATCTAATAGAGTTTGTACGGTAAGTCTCCAAAATAATTGCCTGTAATAAACTGAATCGATCTAAAACTCAGGTAAACGATTCGGAATTAGATCTGAGTTCGTTCGGAATTAGATCGAATAACTCGAAATTCGGAATTAGATCTAGTTAGCTTCAACTTAGATCTAGACTAGATCTAATACCGAATTCCAGACAAAAAAAATCAGAATTTGACTTTTTCAGCAGAAATAGGCAACTAGCTGTAGATCAAATTTTCGGAGGTTTTTGTCCAAAAACCTTCAGAGAAAGGATATTATGTGTTTTTCTTCATGCCTAGATAACTAAAAACCCGGAAATCTTTACTCAAGGAGTTCCAGACCATTTACCTTTCTTCTTTTCAATTACCCATTTCACACTTTCTACGGAAGAAGTGAAAACATATATTTTTCTCCGGGACACTATATGAAATGACAGGCAAAAAGAAATCGCTGAAAAACTGACGAATTACTGCTAGTTAGCAGCCGAAGGAGAACTCAACGGGCCGTCGACGGGCTGTCGACGGACCTATCAAAAGTATACAGTTGTGGACTCTTCAAACCCCTTCATAGGTGGGAAAACGGCAAAGAACAGTAATTTTGGCAATAGAGACACATTAAATTGATTGAAAACTTTTTGATCTTTAGGATCGGAGACAATTGGGCTCAAGGAGTACAAGGAACCCAAAAATTGAGCCACCTAGTCTAGACCAAACACACACAATTAATAACCGATAATAGCAAGTGTTTAACCAACCTTTAGCGGTAAATACATAGGTTGTTTCGAACACATTGTCAAGAGTGTACCAAAACTTTCCGAAGAAGAGCCGCTAAAGGACATTTAGTGGTGGGGGCTAATGGAGTTTTGATTTGTTTGTCGTGTTCTCTAGGAGAAATCGAATCGAAAATCAAAAAAGGGAGAAGTGGACGAATTAATCTGATTATCACCGTTTGTGGTCAAGTGTGTGGAATCCGTTTGGTACACATTCAGAAATAGATCATTCAGCGATTCTCAAGGAATTTGGGAAAAAACCTCTAACATTGGGCCAATTTATCTCGATTCCTGTAAAAGTTATCAGAAAGTGGTCAACTGATAAAATATAGCTTAAATCATGATAAACATTTTATCAGTTGACAACTTTTTGATGTTTCCCACAGTAATAGAGATAAATTGAGTTAAAGGTAGCACTACTTTCGTGTGCGACAATGGTCGTCGAATTCGCTCCCAAAAGGAGTGCCACCTTTGAGACTATTTATCTAGATTTCTGTAAGAGGTATCAAAAAAAATAAACTAACAAAACATAGCTTGTTTTATGATGGAAATTTCATCAGTTGACTACTTTGTGACATTTCTTACAAAAAATGAGATATACGGGCTCAAAGTTGATAATGCGTCAAAGCCATTCTAGCCACCACACTGCCAACTTTGAATTTATTTACCTCGGCTCCTGTGAAAGATATCTAAAAGTGGTCAACTGATAAAATGCTTATCATAACATCAGCTATATTTTATCAGTTGACTATTATTTACTATCTGTCAGAGGAAATGAGATATGGGCTCAATATTGATCAAAGTTAGCGGATTGGGGGGGGGGGGGTGTCCTCTTTTCATCCAAAAAGTAATAGAATTGGTCAAGTGGATTGAACCTCCTGATGAAGTAGGCACTTCATCAGAATACAATACATTAGGATGAATATGAATAAAAAACGATTCTCGAGATCTCATGACAATGAAAAGTGATGTATTCTGCTCCAATTCACTTAGTGTATGGATGGGTAACCCCATGTACGATGTACAAATGTCACAGATTTTGAATATGGACATTTAATGGAATATTGAGAGAGAGAGAGAGAGAGAGAGAGAGAGAGAGAGAGAGAGAGAGAGAGAGGAGAGAGAGAGAGAGAGAGAGAGAGAGAGAGGAGAGAGAGAGAGAGAGAGAGAGAGAGAGAGAGAGAGAGAGAGAGAGGAGAGAGAGAGAGAGAGAGAGAGAGAGAGAGAGAGAGAGAGAGGAGAGAATAGCGGGTGAAAGGAGATTAATTGAATGGGAAAGTGATA